CACACACACACACACACACACACACACACACACACACACACACACACTGAGCCGCCCACAGTCAGCTGGGAAAGAATCGGCAGGTTTCCAGCCTCAGAGAATTTATGTTTCTGAATGATTAGAGTTGAGGCGGACAGGACTGTTTTGGAGGCAGCAGCTGTAACTCCCCCAGCATACACCCCCCACCCCAACACACACTCCACCACACAGCTAGCTCCAAGTGGAGCAGAAAATTAGGATAATTTCATTGTGATAATCATGCTTCTGTTATCCCTATCACTTCCACCCATGGAGAAGAAGAACGGAGGAGACGGAGTGTGTTGGAGGAAAAAACATGGTTTGTGTGCTAAATATACAGCGAGGACGGAGAGGGAGGAATAAAAATACAAATGAGAGAAAATGTGATCTTCATGCCTGGTTAGCTGCAGAATAAATGTGAGTTTGAGTTACAGAGGCTGTTTTCCTGTAAATAAAAGCCGACTTTTCTCCTTTCAGACAAACATCCTTATTTGTTTTGATCAGAAACTTGGCGAAGAGTTTCAAAACTTCTGTTTGATGGTTGCTCTTCATGAGCCAAACACAACTGAGCTCACCTGTTTCTACCTATCGTGTTGCTGCCTGCAGCTGTGGTTTCTAAAGCCCCCCTCAGTGTTTGTTTGAGGGGAGTCCGTGGGTTTATGTGGCGCCTGAGTATCTTTTTTTTTCTCCCACACACACAGTTCTCATCACTTCTCACCCTGCATCTTCTTCTTTGTGTGCAAGTCCAACCTTCTGTGCACTTTTCACGATTTCTTGTTCTTTACACTGCACATATATCTTTCCTTTTCCTTCACATGTAAAGCTGAATGTTGAGCTTAACAGGTGATGAAGGAATGCTATGTTGTTTATTTGTCATATGCAGGTTAACACGAGGTCAACGACGCAATGAAATGTTCACGATGAGAAGAACTTTGACTCGCTAAAACCAAAAAAACAAACACTGAAACATTAAAGCATGCAATAAGGGTATATAAAGTACCAAAAATTGAAAAAGAAATACAATAATTACAAGGTCCATAATAAATATAGTAAAACAACAGCATGGTCTAACGGTGCAAGTAGGATGAATTTGTATGAATAAGCATTTCAAGGTAATATAAGCTTAAATGCACGATATATATTGCACATAACTAACATATACTACACAGGCTGTATGACAGGTTATTGCACATGCAGGTAGTGAGTGACATTAAGATTGAATTATGATGGTAAGGTAGTGACAGATATGATACAGCTGAAGATACATGGTAATGCTGCTGAAGTTCCTCTTGAATCAATTTTCCAACATAAAACAAACCCAAACAAAAAAGGAATAATAAAAATAATAGAAGATGTGTATTTGTTTGGGTTTTTGGACATCTGCAGAATAAAGAAGTTGGGTGATTAGTTTGAATGTTCAAACTCAGGGTTAACTCCTGTTTGGGAACTTTTTCCACGAAATTGCTCCCAGTGTGTGTTTTATATGTCAATCAGCTAATATTGCTCAGTGGCACGTGAAAGCTGGCACTGCTGTGTAGGAGCAGGTCAAAATAACAAGCATGAACATATTTGGGGTAAAAAAAAGAATACATTAAGATAATCCCTAACTGGATTATACTGTGCCAATAAAGTCTGTTGGACTATAAGTCTTCATTTATATATTTCGATTATTATTATATGTTTAGATTGGGCAACACCAAACCTTAACCATCACGAGAATATTTTAGATGCACTCAAGACTAATAAAGCTGTTCAATAATTCCAGCATAAAAAATAAGATACAACAGACAGAAAGTGTGTGTGTGTATATATATATATATATATATATATATATATATAATTATTATTAATATACTGTTTTATTTTACATTTTTATTGTTTAGCATATATCTTAGATCCTTATATACAGTTTCTTTTGTTATACTTTATACAGTATTTTTGCCATTTTGGGATTTAACTGGGACCTTGAGTACACAATTTCTTCCCACCACATGTACCACATGTGATGCAAATGACAATAAATAACCTTGAACCAGAAGTGCAGACTGGACACGAGAAACTTCAGTAAAAATAAGCTGCACTTTATTTGAACCTAAACCAAAGCTGAGGCACAAGGGAACTCAGGAAGGCACCATAACACGTGGTGTTAAAAAGCACAATGCTCCACTGAGGGGTGAATGAAGGTAGAGCAGACTAATGAGGGAAGAGGTGAAGAGATGGGTGTGACAGACAAAACACCTGAAGAACAGACCAAAGAACAGAAATAAATAAATAAATAAACTCTAAAATAAATCATATAAAAAATAAACCAAAAAGCAAAGATACTTATATAAACACAGCATTTAAATAGAAAAATGTCTCATTAAGTAGAGGAGGTGAGACAGTTAAATTATATGAGCCGTCAGTTTTCAGGGCATAGTTAGGGATGTAAAGTAAAATACTTTTTATTCCCACTCACAGACATTTTACTACAAAATAAAGAACATAAATGTTGTAAAAAGTCCAACCTGCACAAACTGTGGCCAGCTTGAACAGAACAGATGAATGTTTTCATCCTTTAGTTTATTTTTTATCACCTTTTCCAGTAAAATAAGTTTGAAACACTGAACAGCTGAACAACTGCACAAAGCATCCTCCTCCTCTCCTCCTCCTCTCCTCCTCCTCCTCTCCTCCTCCTCCCCCCTTTCCCCCCGCTTCCCAGAACGCCCGGACAGGAGTCGCATCACACGGACAGCGAGACCTCGCACCGAGACGTCGGGCTTCTCGCGGGGGGAGGGGACCAGCAGGTGGAGCGATGGTTTTCTGCAGAGTGTGATGGAACCACTGGGGTTCGGTTCGAGCGAACAGAGGACTGTCAGAGCTCTCATCTGGATCAGAACGTCACGATGGAGTTGGCGCTTCTCCTCCTCTTCCTCCTCTTCCTCCTGTCCGGGTGTCTGCCGTCCCAATCTGCTGTCCCCGGTGAGAAACCCCCCCACATGTGTTGCTCTCTGAAGCTAATGTTATTTCTTCTAACAATATGCTGTAAAGATTCAATTAACTCTATAACACTACTATTCAAACATCATGTCTTCCTGTGAGGCGCCAGATGTTTTCAAAGTTAAAGTTACATCTTTGATTGCAGGGTGGACTAAGAAAGTTTTGTATGAAACTTGATGGAGAGTTTTCATTTCTCAAAGAACAGGGACAGAAAATCAGTGCTTGCATCTAACAAAAGGCATTTTGTTTAGTTTTTTTTTATTGAGATTGCCAGTCCTGCATGAATCAGAAGAATGTGAAGTTCAGACAGGATAACTGAGGTCAGGATTCAGCAGACTTTATATTTATTTACAGATGATTTCCATCACAGAAACCAATCAACCAGAGATTAAATCCTCTTTTTCCTCAGAAAATCTCCCATCTCTGATATCATTACAGCTGTATGGGTGATTTTAGTCTTTAGAAAACATCAAATGTTTCTCTTTAATCATTCTTCTTAGTGAGCATCCAATAATTATCTGTTGCATCATATGCGCGATAAAAATAATAAAAACCAATTTGGTCTAAATCAATGTTGAATTCAGCTGTCTTGTTGTTGAGGTCACCTTCAGCGTAACCCTTCTTCAAAGTACAAACCTGCCTTTGCTCAGCTCTTTCAAAGTAATTTCTGTGAAAGTGTTTTAAGCAGGCACTATCTTACCTGCTGCAGATAGGTTTTTGAGTGGAATCCGGTTGGAGAAAAAGAGTTTAATTCGGCCTGTAGGCTAACAAGCTAACAGCTCTGAGTTAATCGCTGCTGCCTCAAAGATTTCATAAAGGTTCATGAAAGTCAGGGTCCCAGTTACTTTTTTGTTGGATGTAACTGGGACCCTGTGTACATAATTTCATTCCACCACATGTACCACATGTGGTGCGAACGACAAATAAAGAAACTTTGACTATAACTTTGCCGCCAGTTTCACGTTGCAATATTGTTCTGGCAGACATATTAGGAAAAGTCACCATCTGTGCAGGAAATGCTAAAGCTAGCTGCTGCTGCTGCTGCTATTGGGGTTTGCAAATAGTTGTAGGTATCCATGTAAATAACTGTGCCATGCAAAACAGGCAGTGAACAGAATTCCAGGAAATACTACCAAATCTTTTAAGACCCAAGTTGTTTTCCCTCATTATTAATAAAGAGCTGATAAATGTGAGGAGGAGTTCAAGTAATAATGATGCTTGTTACCTTCCCACGCTCCCCCTCCTCCTCCAGCCCCAGATAAGTTTGTGTCGTTGGCTGAGATGGAGGACGCTCTGCTGAAGAACCTGTTCCAAGGCTACCAGCGCTGGGTCCGACCCATCCAGCGTGCCAACGACACCATCAAAGTCCGCTTTGGTCTCAAGATCTCTCAGCTGGTTGACGTGGTGAGAAGACACCTACGAGTACAAACACACCTGTTTGCAACTCCTTTAAAACAAATAATATATACAGTATTTACTGCATCTAAACCAAACGAGACTGTTGTGTAACAGAGTGTCCACAATCTGTTTTCTCCCCAACTGTTGTAATACAGTTTATCCCAAAGGATGTATGTGAAGTAATTTTATTAAATAAACAAAAAGTACAAACGCTTATCAATTAAAATTTAAATAACAAACCCTAATGCACTGAATGGTCAACTCCTTCAGGTCTTATATGTAGCCGAATACTTCGCCTATAAATAATTCATTCATTTATTTTAAAAGTCCTGAAAATAAACTAAATTTTCCTCATTAACTTAATAACTAAGATCATGCTGAGCGGTTTAATGCACATTTTAATCAATAAATTGTGTGTTTGGTGTGATTGGGGCTGTTTAAATGGTTCTGTTTGTGGGGAGCAGTGACTTCTTGTGGTCTAAAAAATAAACTGCAGCCAAGTGGATGCCCTCCGCTTCCTAACTAAACAAACAGACGAACAAACAACCAATAAAGGTTTAATTTAGAACCAGTATTAGTTTCTCCTCAGGACTGCTAACAAATCAGTGCAAAATAGTGAGGCTGATAGGAAAAATATCTCAATAATTCTAGATTATTTACTTGTTCAGGTTGTAATAATGCAGCACACATAATTTCTGTTTTTGAGATTGGAGATTTGACACAAATAAAGCCATAGTTTGTAGTATAATCTGGCATTTTCTTTTTGCAAGTAGAGTAACTTTAAAAACTCCATATAAAATTTCAATAAATATATGGCTCTTGGAATGAAATAAATCAGTGCATGTGGGCAATAAGACTAGCCATTTTAAATGAATTACCATTATTTATACATTTACCATCATGTGGAGGTATGAACCAACAAATAGCAGATACTGGTATACAGATTATTTCCCCCTTATCCTTAAACAATGAGTATAACCACGAGAATAAAAACACAATTTAAAACAGAAATTTTGGTATCACTTGACAATAAGGCTCCACTTATAGATGGCTAATAAACAGTTTATAGATATGTTATTAGTTCCTCTATAAACACTTTATACATCATGAATAACTGCTTATTATGCATTAATTAAGGGTGACAGAGAGAAAACTGACACATTTCTTTCCAATTAGAGATCCAAATCTGTTCACCTATATATTTAATCTAGAGTTGTTATATTAAACATTTCAGACTAAGTCACTACCTTGTAAGCACAATAAGCATTTGTAAACCTATTTCTTTAGCATATAATATTGTACTTTATCACTGCATTATAAGTACATACAACTAATATTATATCCTAAAAATAGGTTTACCAATGCTTATTGTGCTCACAAGGTAGTAACTTAGTCTGAAATATTTAATATAACAACTCTAGATTAAATATATAGGTGAACAGATTTGGCAAGAAACTGGACAGTTTTGTCTCTGTCACCCTTAATTAATGCATAATAAGCAGTTGCTAATGATTTATAAAGTGTTTATGGAGGAATTAATAATGTATCTATAAACTATGTATTAGAAATCTATAAGGGGAGTGGTACCCAGATGTGTAACTCTGAACTGAGAAGTACTGTTCATGTTGACGCAGCTCCACAGTAAGGAGCTCTAAAATATTTTCATCTGCAGCTACAACCATCGCTCTTTTTGGAGTGCTCTTTTAATATTTCAGAAGCTCTCTGTGATGGGCTGAGATGGTTTAAGGTGCTCAAACAGAGGAAACTGAGAACACTAAAGGAGGAAGCACTCTTCTCCATTTGAAATATTCATCTCTTACAGTTATTTGTCACTCCTCTTCCCTCTGCTGGAGAAAACTAAGAATAAATAAATCAGAGTCCTTCAGTTTTTGTTTTTTTGTTTTTTTGTTGTTGTTTTTGGACTGAATAGGGTCTGGGAAAGAGAACCAGCATGAGAGCTAATGGTAAACACAGCAGCTTGGCTCTGCTGTGTTTATCCCCTGGGTCTCCCTGGGCTGCTGCATGGCCCAGTATTAGATTATGGTTCACATCTGGTCTATGTGATCAACCAAACCTTCCAACTCTCCCTGACAGCTGAGACTTGGGCTGCAGCTTTGTATACAATCCTCTCACCTGCCACATTTATCTTTTCATCCTAAAATTCCCTCTACGTGTCAAACCTGCCTTCAGTGGCGTGGAAATAAGCCAACGTTAGCTGCTCCACATCTGTCTGTTCCCGTTTTATTTTGTTTACTATCTGATATCTTTACACTGCTTCAGTTTGGTGCACAGTTCTAGCCTCACATTTATTTATTTATTTTTCATCTTTTTGGCACGGATGAGTGCACGTGATTCCGTTTTATTTAATGGAAAAGTAAAAGATGTTTTACATTCAAGATCATCGTGCAGTTTGCTTCCAGATTGGAAAGTTGGAAATATTTTTCTGTCAAAATAAACACCTATTACAAACCTTACAAATGTAAAAAAAATAATAATAATCTGTCACGAATACAAGTCATGCCCTAAAAGACAAATTATTTGACAATTGCTGTTTATGTCATCCATATTATTAAAGGTTTATTAATATTGTCATTTTTCTTTGAGATGCTGTTCTTGTTTAAAGGCATGATTTTTTTTCCTCTGGTCTATTTTAGGACGAGAAAAATCAACTTATGACCACTAATGTTTGGCTCACTCAGGTAAGACACAAAACTCATGGTTGTTTCATCACAAGCGTAAAATGACAAAGACAAAAAATATGTATCAGTAATTAGTTTATAGATCCACAACCCTGTCAATATATTGCATTATTTTAAATAAACAGTGTTGCTTTGATGTGTTGTTGCATCTGTAGGAGTGGATTGACTTCAAGCTTAGATGGAACCCGGATAAATACGGTGGGATCACCTCCATCAGAGTTCCTTCAGAAAACATTTGGCTCCCAGACATTGTCCTTTATGAGAAGTAAGACTGTTCTTACACAATAACGTGGCCATGAGGCCTTGTTTATGTGAGCTGAACTCAAACCTCGCTCCCTCCCCTCCCTCTTGAGGGTCGTTGTTGGTCTGGTTTTATATGAGAGATGTTTTGTTCACACACATGAAGGTCCAGCTTGGCACTGAACACCTCCTCCTCTGTTTAATGCTGGTCTTTCTCATTTGACCTGTATGTGTTCTTTCACCCAGAAAGGTCAATCATTTGATCATACGGTCAACGATTGAACCTTTGAATTTACAATTTACTCAAAATTTGGCACAAATCTTGTCCACACTGTCCGCTTACATACTTTTTAATTCCACTTAGTTTAGTCAATTCATTCTTACGTACTGTAATATTTATTATAAAAAAAAAAAGGTCACTTGCATTTTCCCCATTCATTTTGACTTTAATCTTGTAAACAATTCAGAACTTTAAAAAAAAATTGTGAGTTTGGATTTGCTATAATGAAAAAGCAAAAAAACCCCCAAACAAACATCAAGTTGTTTGCAGGCAAGTAGGTGAGACTTAAAGCGTCACATCCTTATTGCACTTAATCTGGTTCCAAAAGTACAACATTGCAGTTCCCGTCAACCGGGTCATGCTGCCTTCAGTCCTGAGCAACATTGCGCGTAGTTTTCGTAATATATGGTTGATGCTGGAAAACCAAGGCCCATTGCAAAGATCAGCAAAGGTTGACCTCTAGGAGATACCAACATCACATCACAACCTTACGTCTCAGGTTTTCATAGTTGTACAAAACTTAGCATGTAAAATATGGGGCATATTTACAACCTGGGTTTAAATATTTTATTCGATTGGGTCAGCAGACCCCATGCAGCACAAACCACTGCCTTTAAATCATGCTGTGGCACCTGCCATGCTTAGTTTAGTCATTGTGACAACAAAGTTTTAGATCCTGACATGGTTCCTGCTGGGGGGGAGTGTGTGGCTGAAATACCGTATTTTTCGGACTATAAGGCACACCTCAAATCCTTTAATTTTCTCAAAAATCAACAGCGAGCCTTATAATCCAGTGAGCCTTATGTATGAAAACAGACCTGTTCACTGATGTTGCGCCTTATGATCCAAAAAATACGGAACTGTTTGCACGGCTAACTGATCAAAAATGTTTTTAGTCTAATAGCGTTCAGTTTTCATTTTAATTCTAGTTGCTGTTTTGACTTTTATGGATAGATAACAGAAGTAAACGTGACTGAATCGTGATGAGGTCTTTTCTGACTTTGTGACTCCTCAGTGCTGATGGGCGGTTTGAAGGCTCCCTGATGACCAAAGCCATTGTGAAATATAATGGTGCCATCACCTGGACACCACCAGCCAGTTACAAATCTGCCTGCACCATGGATGTTACTTTTTTCCCCTTTGACCGGCAGAACTGCTCCATGAAGTTTGGGTCCTGGACCTACGATGGGCACATGGTGGACTTGGTTCTCATGGACAACCACGTGGATCGGAAAGACTTCTTTGATAACGGGGAGTGGGAGATACTCAGTGCCACTGGTGCCAAAGGGAACAGGAAGGACGGCTTGTACTCCTACCCCTTCATCACCTACTCCTTCATCCTGAAGAGACTGCCGCTCTTCTACACGCTCTTCCTCATCATTCCCTGTTTAGGTTTGTCCTTCCTGACGGTCCTGGTCTTCTACCTCCCCTCGGACGAAGGAGAGAAGTTGTCGCTCTCCACCTCTGTCCTGGTGTCGCTCACTGTGTTTCTCCTGGTCATTGAAGAAATCATCCCCTCCTCCTCCAAGGTGATCCCGCTCATCGGGGAATATCTGCTCTTCATCATGATCTTCGTCACCCTCTCTATCATTGTTACCGTCTTCGTCATTAATGTGCACCACCGCTCCTCGGCCACCTACCACCCGATGTCTCCGTGGGTTCGCAACCTCTTCCTTCAGAAGCTGCCCCGGTTGCTCTGCATGCGAGGACACACAGACCGGTACCACTACCCAGAGCTGGCTCCTGAAAGTCCTGAGCTGAAGCCTCGCTCTGGAGGTCGGAGGGGAGGCCAAAGGGCGAGCGGCAGCGCCTTTGGACAGACGTCTGACGGGAAGGAAGAAGAGGCTTGGTCCACCATGTTGGAAAGAGCCATCTATTCAGTGCGCTACATCAGCAGACACATCCGGAAGGAGCACTTCATCCATGAGGTGATGATTAACTGCTACTATTTTTAAAGTCTGTGGGCTTTATGTTAACATCTCCTGTTTCCGTTTTGTCTTCTTCTACTTCCTTCAGGTGGTTCAAGACTGGAAGTTTGTGGCCCAGGTATTAGACCGGATCTTCTTGTGGGCCTTCCTTACCGTCTCCATCCTGGGCACCATCCTGATCTTCACTCCAGCCCTGCAGATGTTCATGAAAATCCCTCCTCCGACTACGAACGAGGATGCACCTTCAAACCCGTTACAATAATCACCACTCAACATCTACAATCTATAAACTCTACCAAATGTTTCAAATGAGCGAGAAGAAACCGTTACTGGTCCTTTTTTACTGGAGTTGTTTTGATAATTTGATTTTTGATCCTGTATATAGAATGTCATGTTTGTACAAAGTATATGGAATCACATTTTCACAACAGCACAACACATTTTTTATGGATGAATGAAACAAGATATAGGTGATGGTTAGAGCAGCAGTCAGAAGACATTTAAACACAAATTGAAATTCAGGTCACACGTTCGGCATTTAGAAAATGGGATTTAGCTTAAAATGAAGTAAAATTTTAAATTGGAGCTAAACTTTAATATGGCATTATTGTGTATTTTCTATAACAAACACAAAGAACGTAGTGACCGACTTGATTTATGTAGTAAACTCACAGATTATTCAGGTGTTTTCAGCTGCTGCAGAACAAATGTCCACATTGCTGAAAACTCCACCTAAGATTCAGATTTCAACTACGACAAATTTTTCATTCATTTTTTTTAAAATACATTTTTACCTTTCACTTTTCCAAAGCACACAATTCCTCCTGCAGGCCTGACTTAATAACAGTGTTTGAAAACTCACGTTTATCACGTTCACTACAAAAATGTTTGTGCAAAAACACATCTTTCAGAAATGAACTGGTTTTGTGCTGTTTTTTGTCCCCATTAGTTTCACAAGAGATAAAGAGCTCAATTAAAATGATACAAAGTGTAATGTAAGGACAAACGTTTTATTGCATAGTCTCCAAAAGTACATTATTTGAACTGTAGAGTACTTTATTATAATAATAAAGTTAGTTTAAACGAATACAACTTTAATTGATGGGATTATGGCCATTTTTAAATCACTTTCCATTCAGTACGAACTGAAGTGGTTCTTAACGATGTGTAGAACTTTTGATAAAATAAATAAATAAATGATGCAACAAAGGTAGAAGGGGGAAAATAGTTTGTAGCTGGTCACGCTCCCCAGTGATAAACCAGAACACAAAGCAAACGTTCCTCTTCTGTTTTTGTTATCGCAACATTTTAACATATTTCAAGCTTGAAATACAAGATTTGTGAAGAATGCATGTGATGCAGGACAGAGATTATTTTCAAACGTTAATTAGAGTTTCAAAATGAACAGAGAAGCAGTTCCTTTATTTAATGAACTTTCAGCTTCATAACATTGATTTTGACATGTAAGTATTTTTACACAGCTGTTCAGAGGCTACATTTTTACCTAAAATTTATAAAAGTTTGGGGTTTTTTTACATCAAGAAACTATTTAAAATACACATTCAACACAGACCTAACAGTTAATAAAGCTTCATGAGGCGGTAACTAATTTCACCTTAGATGAGGATAAAAGTTTGAACTATTAAAATCTGCATCATGAAGTTGTAGCTCCTCGCTCTTCCTCTTTACTTTTGTACCTCAGTCGATGTGTCTGACTGTCCAGGTGAGCTTGCACGTTGCACAGCAACTCCACATAAAGTCTGATGTTTTCACTGAAACACAGTCAGGTACAAATATATTTATTAATACGGTATGTAATTTTTGTTTTTAAAAAAAAATCACCAAAAAAAATGCACTTTCTGTCTCATTGCAAGCTTAAACGGATAATTTGGTGTTTTTAAAAATTATCTGTCAAATCATTATGAAGTCCGATCAGTGTTTAATGTAGCTTTACCTAAAAGTATATTTTCAGAATTTACTTAAACTAAACTGATTCCTGAAGAAAATGTTAGGAATCAGACTAGGATAATAAGCTGGGCTTGCTTTATATATAGCTTTTGAGGCTGATAAAACAACTCACTTATTGTCGCTTGTGTGGAAAAAATGCTACGTTAGTTATTTTAAAGCTCTACACTTTTGTATTGTTGATTAGTTTGTCCATATTTCCTCAACTAAACAACGTCCATGTTACAACCACAGAGATATATAAAACAGTGGAGGCACCCGTCACGTGACCTTGTGATTCACTATGGCGGCCATTACCAAAACGGTTAACGTCTGCACTTGGCATTTTGATTAAATAGCTTTTAGTAAGGGCTGATTATGTACAAAATGTCATTGATAACGTGTAATAGAATAAAATATTAACATGGTTATCAAAGTGTAAAAATGCTATATCAATATGTTAGAGAAAAAAGAAAACATTGACGTGACTCCTTTCACAAGTTGATTTAATCTTATTTACTTCAATGTGAATTTGACCCAACCAGAATTGAATCTAATAATAGAACCGTTTAAAAGTATAAAACTAATGTAACTGCTGTTAATTATTATACTGGCTGGCAAATAATGGATTTTGTTGCTGTTATTGCTACACATAAGCTGAATCATGCTACAATTTACAAATTATTAAATAGTACAAGCTGATATTTCATCCAGTAACAATTCATTGTATGCTTTCTTTGCATGAATTCTGAAAATATACTTTTAAAGCTTAGGTATAGCTACTGTACATTAAACACTGATCACTGCAAGTAGCTGTGGCTAGCAGAGCCTAGATGTACACAATTTACATGTTAAAAGTTAGTTTCAAATTCATCAATTAGCAGAAGTCATAATTATTTAATTAGCTAAGATATATTGAAATCAGTGGAAGTCAGTCATTAATTATTGACCAACTTCAGGTCTAGTTCAGATCGTCATTAGTTATACCCATATGTTTTCCTTATATAACAGCTAACTGTTTTACTTTAAACTTTCAGAAAATAATCACTGTCCATACACCTCAATAACTTTTGGATTTTTACCAAAATCAGGATGGCCACCACAGATAATCAACCATAGCCAAGACTATTAGATTATTGAAACCTTAGTCAGATTTACTGATACTGAGCAAAAGTTTGGATGACTGTGCAGCTGAGGGTCATCTTCGACACATAGATCAGGTAAGGATGAACAAAATGTTTTTTTTAAATTAACCAAAATGGCTAAGACGCTGTCCCTTTTAATCACAAGATGACCCCAGTGTAAAAGCAGTGATATATACAGTCCTTCAAGGAATAATTGAACTTTAATGGTGATAATAATAATCATTCATGTAAAATTTTGCGGTACATTCACTTTATGTCCACTAGGTGGCAGTATAATCAAAGCTGAATATTCAGGATTTCATGTGTCTGCAGCAGAATTTTATTTTATTTTTTAAATGAAAGGAGTTAAAAAAAAAAAAAAAATCTGCCAGCTGGAAAAAAAACTGTCACAACAGATACAAAAACGAATGTAAGAAACAAAAGTGGCAAAATAAATGAATGACAATGTATTTAAGCTTCAATGTAATAAACTGTAATGCGAATCATTTTGTGATGTCGATCTAAGAATGACACAATAAATTCACCTCTCATACTTAATATAAGGAAAAATTACATAACCTAACTCAGGATAAAATAATTCAAAGTCTGCTTCTGAATCAAAGATTGAGACTTAAAAAGAAAATAATAAAATAAAAATCAAGTCCCAGGAGTGGTCGTTTTAAATTTCATCTTGCTGAGCTGCAGCTTTAAGTCTCTCCTCCTTTAAAGTTTGAGCTGATGATCTTATGTGACTTTCTCTGTGTGATAAAATATTAAAATGCTGATGCAGCCACACAACATGAAAGCTGAAGGGATGAAAGTTAATTCACGGACAGGACAAAAAGGATTAATCATTTAAATTAATTATGATCTTAAGCATTTTAAGTATGTAGGAGTATATTTTATGTGCCTTTTTTTGCAGATTTTATTCAATTCTTCTTATCCGCCCACGTGTTCAACCAACTTTCTTTGGTTTTCTTTGTGTTTCCATCTCTGACTTCAGGCCTCCCTCAGAGCCAACTATTACCGACGTTCTTCACAGTAAACTCCAAACTGTGTGTGAGAGCTTTGACCTTTCTGTGACGTCCACCAACAACCTGAGTCTCAACCTGAACAGATTCAGACAGCAAGCTGAGCCTGAGACAGCAGAGGACACACAGAAAGTGTTTTCTAACTGAAGACAACATGTTCAGTTTAAAGCACAACAGGAGGGGAAGGTGAAAACTGAAGAAAGAGGATCTGAGGACACTGTTTCTTTTCGTTGTTATTCGCTGGTCCCTTTCAGTAGAAACTTACATGAGCTCAATAAGCAACAGAACGCTGCTTTGTTAGTTTCTGCCTGACGTTATATTTTCCTGAGGCATACCAACGTTTTGTTGTTTCCACATTATACACATGCAAATGAACAGTTTAAAGAAAATGTGTTTTTGCCCCTGTCTGTGTGCACAATTCTCCACTGGTTAACTTTTGGCATCACCTCAAGACGATCGTTGCAGCTAATTGACATTAACAAACACGACAAAGGCGACAACTCAGTCAGTTTTACAGATACTGAGCTGAACCTTGTTGTAGTTGTAGCTGAGCGTCATCCTCAACACATTGTCTGAGCACGGACAGATCGTGTCCGAGACTTTTCCTGGCAGGTGACGTCTGAACACAGACAAAAATAACAGACTGCAGAGGAGCCACATTTTGACTGTATTTTTAATTAATGTCAGAATTAAAGCTTAAATCAAAACTCTTGCTAATGAGTCCTTGAGGCTCAATGAGACTAACCTGTATAAATAAAGGTTGAATGAAAAGCATGTCCCATCCATCCATCTTCTTCCACTTATCCGAGGTCGGGTCGCAGGGGTAGCAGCCTAAGTAAGGAGGCCCAGACTTCCCTCTCCACAGCCTCTTGGACCAGCTCCTCTGGGGGGTGCTCCCAGACCAGCCGAGAAACATAGTCCCTCCAGCGTGTCCTGGGTCTTCCACTGTGTCTCCTCTCGGTGGGACGTGTCTAGAACACCTCACCAGGGAGGCGTTCAGGAGTCATCCTAACCAGATGCTCGAGCCACCTCAACTGGCTCCTCTCGACGTGGAGAAGCAGCGGCTCTACTCTGAGTCTGAGTCCCTCCCAGATGACCGAGCTTCTCACCATATCTTTAAGGGAGAGCCCAGACACCCTGCAGAGAAAACTCATTTTGGCCGCTTGTGTCCGTGATCTCGTTCTTTTGATCACAACCCAAAGTTTGAGAGCTTCGCCTTTTGACTCAGCTCTCTCTTCACCACGACAGACCGGTACAGCGTCCACTTCACTGCAGACACTGCACCTATCCGCCTATCGATCTCACGCTCCATTTTTCCTTCTATGTGAACAAGACCCTGAGATACTTAAACTCCTCCACTTGGGGCAGGACCTCCTGCCCGACCCAGAGAAGGCAAGCTACCCTTTTCTGGCTCAAGACCATGGCCTTGGATTTGGAGGAACTGATCCTCATCCCGGTCGCGTCACACTCGGCTGCGAACCGCTCCAGTGAAAGCTGTAGATCACGACCTGATGAAGCCAATAGGACCACATCATCTGCAAAAAGCAGAGATGCAATCTTAAGGTCACCAGAATGGATCCCCTCAACATCTTGGCTGCGCCTAGAAATTCTGTCCATAAAAGTTATGAACAGAATCAGTGACAAAGGGCAACCTTGGCAGAGTTCAACTCGTAACGGAAACGAGCCTGACTTATTGCCGGCAACGTGAACCAGGCTCTGACACCGGTCACACAGGGTCCTAACAGCCCATATCAAAGGGCCTGGTACCCCATAATCCCAGAGTACCCCCACAGGGCTCCCCTAGGGACGCGGTCGAACGCCTTGTAGACTGGTTGGGCAAACTTCCATGCACCCTCCAGGACCCTGCTGAGGGTGTAGAGCTGGCCCAGTGTTTCATGACCAGGATGAAAATCACACTGTTCCTCCTGAATCTGAGGTTCAACTATCTGATGGATAAGCATGTCCCATGTGCACATATTGATATAAATATTATATGTGACCATGTGCACCAACACATGGCACACATGAATACAAACATGGTTCATAAATAAGTAAACACACCAACATATTTCAACGTCTCTCATATAATCTCATCCTCAAACACCTGCACATGAACACATGTTTCATTTAGAAACAAAATGTGGTTATATTTTTACCAGATACACTTCAAGATTTAAAATGTAACTTTTGTCATTGTTCAAAAAGCTAAAATGATGTTATAATTAATACAAATTTACTACTTGACCAGACTTATTATTCCATTTAGTTCACGAGTGTCCAAAATGTGGCCTGAGGGCCATTTGCGGCCCTTGGAATGATTTTTGCGGCCCACAGCTTCAGTTTAAGAATGGTGTCATTTTGGCCAGCAGAGGTCAATGCAGACTTTCTGCAACTTAGTTGGTAATCCTTTTTTATATGATGTTTAGGTTTAACAGCAAAATGAATGTAACACAATCGTCTCAAAATGAGCAATATCAAGCAAAATACAAACCGTTGGCCATAATACTTTTATTTTAACTTCTTGATACAAAACACCAAAAGCCTTTACTGATTTCTACCAGAATGGAGACTTTTGGATAATAATTCACAAAACTTGTCTAAATATTGATTGACAAAATAATCAAGCAGGAAATTGGACATTGTTAAATGAATATAAAGTAGTATCATCTACATACGAGTTGATCAGGTTTATCAAACCTTTGAATCTGTTGTAGCGACTGACAGCTGGATGATTTTTCAGAACTTGGATCAGCCTTTTGGGCCGTTTCATAGTCCAAAAAACTGATGGACCGCCGTTTTAAAGGACAATTACTCAAATTACGCTTTTGTTGTTTAGAACAGAGTAAAACGAACTTTCTAAACACAAGAAAACAACAAATACAGACCCAGCAAATCAAATAAATCAAATATTTTTAATAAATTCACATTTTTGTGGCCCATGAGGCTTTTGATAGATTTGGCCCACACATGATTATGTTTGGACACCCCTGGTTTAGAAGAAGAAATCTCAGATTCATCAGGTCATTGTGGCCATCAGTCCTCCTGCAGCACTGATGCTCCAACAAACCAAACCTAATGACACCCTCTGATGGAGGTTCATGCACATGCAAGGTAAAGAAAAAGATCAAATAACGGCTCTAATGCTTCTGACATGGGACTATTTTTTGGATCCTACTCCCTTTTTGATTACAGGGAAGAGAACAAAAGAAACCAGGCAGAGAGATCGTTTGGAGAAAAATAAATGCAGCGTTCCTCCTCATCGCCGTGGCTCCCAATTTCTAACTAAAATTATTTATGCATTGGAATAAATAGGTCACTGGATGATGTGCCGGCTTGGCACAAAAATAGGAGACAAATACAACAAAAGTGCAGTTGATGAGCTTCTTTGTGATGCCAAGAAGCAGGAAATTGCAGCGTGACACATGGCACATCTGTATAAACAGCTGTGAGGAGGTGATGTGCTTCATGAGCCGGAGATGCCGTTCCTGAAATCAGTCAGAGAGACGACGGCTGCCTCGCCTTTGCTCAGCTTTGGGTTTTTTTTATTTTATCTCTAAGGGAAGCTCAGAAAGTCTTTCACATTGAATTTAATGTTTCACACTCTGGAAAAAATAATAATATTAATTTGACAACCCGTTATAAAACTAGACAATGGTTTTAAATGCACAACGCTCACAACGGGCATTCATTTAATTTGATTTCTTTGTGTGTCCACTTGAAATGTATTTCACTACATCGTTTCTTTTTGTAGTCCCGATGGCTTTTATACGAGCCTTTTGTATCTTTTGCAGTTTCAACAATAAAAGTTTTTCTTTTTTCCTGTTTTTTTCTGTGGTTTTGAGCAACAGTTCCCAAATTTTTCATTTTTTGACACACAAAATTAAGTCAATAAGTCCCAGAGGCCCCAATTTTTACTGAATAAATACAAACATAGCAAATAAACCACAACAGTTTCATCAACCATTATAATTTATTAATTACTAACATGTTTATTTTTTTAGAACAGTTAAGACTTCTAGCATGAATCATTTGTAAAGTTAATTTGAGTTTTTCAGGACCATCTGTTTGGTTGATCAGGGTTCCAAGGTCAACTTTGGGAAGCCCTGATTCAGAGTAATGAAAAAAATCTGTTGAACAACTCCTTAGAATCAGAATCCTCGTTCACTACTGCACAATTAGACAAAAATCTAAATTTTCTCCAGATCATATGATAACAATAAAAACTATTAATTTTACAAACCTTTCAAGTATCAATTGGGCAAAAAGGTTTGAACTTCTTCCAAAAGTCATGCGTGTAGTGAGGCAATTAAGTGTAAAACTTTAGCTTAAAGGGATGATCTGGTCATTTTTGAAGTGATCTTCTGTTCTGTTCAGTATCAGAGTTGACATTAGTCACAGACGGCACATGATTTGCTTTTTAAAATAGTTTCTTACATTAACAATACACTGTTTGAATGTTTAAATCCCCTGAATATTAGGAGCATGTTAGCACCGACCGGCTGCACCACTGAGCTCCTCACTGTCAGCTGTAGGCTGCCCCCCTCCCTCACCACGTCCCCCCCTCCTCTCCGCCTGTGTTCATTCCAGCAGAGAGTCGCTGCAGAGTCCATGTTGTGCTGAAGCACAGACACCAGCAGAGTTTACCAGACCAGCGCCAGGATGCGGTGCCACAAGTTCTGGAGCTCCTGCTCGGTTGGATTTTATATTTGGACAACGATCCTTTTCAAAGGTAGGAGACGAGTTCTGGATCACAGAGGCAGACTGCAAGCTTTGCGTTTTCAGATTATTGGTTAAGAAGCCTTTCTTCTTCTTTGACAGAGAAAGTTTCTTCACCAGAATTTTGAATTTAAGTCAAGATATAAAGCATTTTGTCCTCAACAAAGTCAAGTTTATTTACAGTTTCATGCTGGAAGGATTAAAAATGAACTTTTACTTGTTTTTATTTCAAATAAAACTTAGAAGAACTTCATATCTACAATTTTAATACGATGTGTTAAATCTTAGCTTTTAAGGAGTAAATAAATTCCCACACAGTTCTTTTCTAACGTGTTGAAATGTATTGGTGTTACCTCTGTTGTCAGTGGGAGCCTGCAGATTAGTTTTATGCTCATTTGTGTGTAACGTGATGTGCATGAATGGGTCTATAATTCCCGCCTAAGCCCCCATTCCATCATCATCATCCACATCATCGGGAGCAGCAAAACATCTGTAACATCTGGCTTGTTCACTTAGTTTCTCACAGAGAGGCTTAAAGCTGTGCTTTCTAACTTACTATCATGGTTGAGTGTGTGCACACACACATGCTGAGTTTTCCATCAAGCAGTCCTACTTTTCTCTGCCCTGGCCTCCTCACCAAAACCAGTCGAGGTCACGCTGCCCAGGAGGAAACAGACACAGAGGAGGGATGTCAGAGACCCCAACGAGTAAATGGTAAACTGTTTGCTACCTGTGATAACAGAGCTCTTCTGTAACATTGTTGGAGGTAACGCTGTACCCAGTAAACTAAGATCATGTTTACAAATAATGAAAAACAGATTTTTTTTTAAATCCTTTAAAGATAATTCTAAAAATAAGTTTCCAATAAAGTGAAAACTCAATGATCTCTAAAGTCAAAATTAGCCTAAATTAATTGATGGGATGGATGGATGGATGGATGGGTTGATAGATGGATGGATGGATGGATGGATGGATGGGTTGATGGATGGATGGATGGATGGATGGTTGATG